AAAGAATTAGTGGCCACAAATTACCCAAAGTGCTTCATAATTATGTTGTTTTCAAACAAAGAACTGTGTTACTCTGTTTCAGTGTACAGTGGAAAGCAGGGTGGGTGAATCTAGCTGCATCTTTGAGACAACTTGGTTTATTTCAACATGTGTCTTTGTGGATATCAATCCACTTCTTTATATGCACTGTTCAACTCACTTCCATGCATCTGAAGACGCTGATGAGTTCCCATTATGCTGAAATAAACCAGTTGGTTTTAAAGATACTGATTTCCCTCCAACCGCTCATCTGTAACTAAATAGGGATTCAAACCTGGATTTTCTTACTCTTGCAGTCAGATGCTACTGTCTAAATATGTAGTGAACAACTCTGACTGTATCTCACTGTACCATTATATTAGCTTGATACCTGTTTATCTACTTGCATTTGCATGCTTCCAAACTGCTAGGTTGGCAGAAGCTGGGACTAGTGTTGGAAGCTCACCCCATCATGCAGCACCCAGGTATCGAACTGCCAACTTGCTGATCTTGAAATAATAATAATAATAATAAAGTTTATTTATATCCTGCCCCTTTGAGATCAATCGGGGTGGCTAACAAAAATAAAATATACATACAACTGTAAAAACTAATCCCCCCCCTTAAAAAATTATTAAATCAAATGTCAGCGTCTTAACTACTTGAGACACTGCATCCCCATGATAGGGTCACCATTAGTAAAAATGACTTGGAGGCACATAACAACAAAGGTATTGCAGGATAACTCTAAAGCTGCTGTTTAGGGTGTTGCACTAAGGAATTCTAAGTCACTTCTTAAACTACAAATCATAGGGTACCAAAAAATGGCACCATGGCTGTTAAGATGGTATCAAGCCACTATAATTTTGCAGTGTGGACACAACCTCTGTATCCTTTTGTTGTTGTTGTTCTTTAATGTATGATTAGTTTGATTGTAAGTCTAACACTCAAACCCCTAGACCAAGCCTGCTTTCCTGGCTGCTGTCCAGATGCGAACATACATTTCAACAGAATATAGAAGTCTCCATTTACCTTGCCTCCCAACATCTTGTATTCAGCTCCATGTTGCCAATAAACACAGCACTTCCACTCATCACGAGGAACAGCAGCCAATAAACCTATCTTACCTACAATTCTTTTGAAGTTATTTCACAATTAACAAGAAGTTTTAGGCTGGAAATGAGGAATCTGTGGCTGTCTGTCTGTCTTCGACTGTAACTTCCATCCATCCCAGGCAGCCTGGTTAGGAATGGCAAGAACTATAGTCAATTGTTTTGACAGCCCTATTTTACATTCCTATGAGGAACGACTTAGGGAACTGGGTATGTTTAGCCTGGAGAAGAGATGGTTAAGAGGTGATACGATAGCCCTGTCTAAATATTTGAAGGGATGTCATATTGAGGAGGGAGCTAGCTTGTTTTCTGCTGCTCCAGAGAATAGGATCCGGAGCAATGGATGCAAGCTACAGGAAAAGAGATTCCACCTCAACATTAGGAGGCACTTCCTGATAGTAAGAGCTGTTCGACAGTGGAACACACTCCCTCGGAGGGTGGTGGAGTCTCCTTCTTTGGAGATCTTCAAACAGAGGCTGGATGGCCATCTGTCAGGAATGCTTTGATTTTGAGTTCCTGCATGGCAAGGGGTTGGACTGGATGGCCCTTGTGGTCTCTTCCAACTCTATGATTCTATGATTCTATACTCCAGATTCTCTCAAGAAAACTCCCATTTACATTTCTAGGCATGTCCATCTTTTCAAAAATGTATGGCATGGACCCTGCTATTCAACAGATGTGTGTGTGTGTTCTGTGATTTAATGTCTTTGAAATTTTGCATAGGGGAAAAGCTGTTTCTGGGCTAAATTCTGCTTTTAGACTACACACATGGTGCTAATTAAGCAAAGTTCCATGTGTTTTTGGATAAATTCCTCTACCTCAGTATACATTATCCCCCTGCTGCTGGCTATGGAGGAAAGAAGGCTACCCCATGTCCTCTGGAAAAACCTGTTCTCCAAGCCCTGACATCTGGCAATGTCCATACTCCAGTGCAGGGGTAGGCAACCTTTCCCCTTTAAGGGCCGAGGGACTTCAGCTCCCAGAATCCCAGGACCTATTGGCTAACATGGGACTATTGGCCAACATGGCTGAGGCATCTGGGAGCTGAAGTCCCTCGGCCCTTAAAGGGGAAAGGTTGCCTACCCCTGCTCAAGTGCATCAAACCCCTTAGCTCAGAGGGCTAGAAACTTGCTCTTTTTTAAAGTGTATGTATGTGTATGTGTACATATATAACCTTTTTGAAGAGTCTGATTTCAGTATTGATTATCAATTTCCACAAGCGTACCATATGACTTAAATGAATGTCAGAATGCACATACAATCTACTTGCAGCTGTGTGAAGTTGCGGGAGTCAATGAATACACTGATTCATGGATACAGCATACAGTCCCTACCTCATCTCTTCTGGATTTCCTCTTGGTACATATAAAAGCAACAATGAAAGAAGCGCAGGACTTTAGTCTGTAATATATGATTAGTAATTGCTTGATATAGAGGAGTTAATCACTTTCATTTTGCAGACTGCTAGAAATAGCGCAAATTGAGTCCACTTTAACTGTCCTGGCTCAGTGCTAGGGAATCATGGGAACTGTATTTTTTTCTGAGACATTGAGCCTTATCTGTCAGAGAGCTCTGGGCCACAATAAACTACAGTTCCCATGATTCCCTAGCACTGAGTCTGGGCAGTTAAAGTGGACTCAATTTGCACTATTTCTGGCAGTCTGCAAAGGCCTATTGATACATAACAGCTGTCGTTATTTTTCTGGTGACTTCCATATTGGATATATTGCTATGCCTGCAGTAGAATCCTGAAGTGGTATGGATATGAATACTGACCAGCATTCAAACACCTTGCAAGTAATGAGTTGGCACATCAGGGAAACAAGGCTTAGCTTGTTTCGTTTTTTCTCTGTTTTTCTCCATGCAAGGAGTTTTTTTGGGATGGGGAACCTTCCAAAATCCGATGCTTGCTTCCACTCTGCATTGATACAGTCCATGCTACTGAAGCCTGCTTCCAAAGTTTCATATTCAGTGTCATCAAATGGATGAACAATCAGCTTTCAGAGCATTACAGAGAGATGGTACTTTTCTCAGTATCTCACTCTGGCACGTGGTACAAGGTGTTTAGAAGGAGAGAATCAGTGTGATGTAGTGGTTAGAATGTTGATCTAGTACCTATTGAACTGTGCTATTCGGTGGGTGACAATGCGCCAGCTGCTGTATTTCAACCTGACCAACACCTCACAAGGTTGTTGTGAAGATAAAGGGGTAGAGGAGAGCCTTGAGCTCATTGTTGTTGTTAACTGCCCTCAAGTCAACCATGACTCATGATGCCCCTGTGGATGAAGCATCTCCAGGACTCCTCCTCTGCTCTGCTTAGGTCCTTTAAATTAAGGCCCATGACCTCCCTGATTGAATATATCTATCTGGAGTCTATGCATCTGCCATGTGGTTTTCCTCTCATTCTATTGCCTTCTACTTATTTGTCTTTTCTAATGAGTTGTGCCTTCTCATTATGTAACCAAAGTACAATAGCCTCAGTTTTATCATCTTGGCTTCCAGGGAGAGTTCAGGCTTGATCTAAACAAATACCCATTTGTTTGTATTTTTGGCTGTCTGTGGCATCCTAAGCACTCTTCTCCAGCATTTTCTTTCTATCAGTTTTCTTTATTGTCCAGCTCTCACATTTGTACATGGTGATGGGGAATATAATGGACGATTCTGACTCTAGTGCTCTATTGTACATCTGTACACTTTAGGATCTTGTCTAAGGAAGATAGATAGGGATTCCAGATCTTACCCTCTGCTGTTTCTGCCATTGGCACTTAGTAGTGCTTAGTTGATCACCTCTGCCAGGCCCATCCCTGAACCAATATTGTGACTCCTTTGGATTAGTCTATTCACATATTTGGGTTTGTCAGAGTTTGTTGTATTGTGCAAACCAATATGGGGATGGGGAGAGAAGAGTCTATTGATTTAAAAACACTTGTTCCAACTAATGAACATCTAGGTCTAGTAATGAATGTATAAAGTGAATTTTTCTACATCTCTGTATATATTGGCATGCTTCCTGGATGTAAGGCCACTTACATTGTATAAAGTGGCAGCTGCTATTAAACAAAATAAAGCTCTTATTATTTTCCAAGCCTCATCCTCTGTCATGAAGTAATTGTCTGCTCCCTTAATTTCCTGCAGCGGTAAACATTTGGATTGATTTTTAACACGTCGGGAGATATGCTTTAAGATAGCCATTGATTATTACCAGCTAAAATTGTTGCAGGAAACAGGAAAATTGAATTTTCTCAAGGGCGGGGGAAGGATTCACAGAAGCCTTCAAAAACTGCAATTATTACATGCTTGATGGGCACTAGATAGATTGGCACGATCCCAAAGATTTTGTCACTGCTGAATATATTTCACAGGGAGGGAAAAATTCACCAAGCCTTATGAGTCTTTCACTACAGTTATTGCTTCTTTCAGATCTGGGGCTGGGCTTGATGTGACATATGAGTTTAGCCCCAGAACCTGTTTTTACTGCCTGTGCCCACATAGGACAATGAAAGAAGACACTGCTTTTCAAATGCTGCTTCTCCTATTGTACAGGAACGCACAGAAAGAACAGGCTAGAATTACCTGTCTCTTAAACTGAGCTTGACTCAGGAGTTCTGGATGTATTGTCTGCCTTTGATTTCTTTCACAATCAGATCCCTCAAGGCTGAAAAAGGAGAAATTTACATTTTAATGTAGACCTTCCCAGTTTGTACTTTCATAACCAATACACAAACCAAAACCAGTTAATCCTACAGTATTCGCACTTTGAATTTGTGGAATTTTGGGAAGGAAGGCAGTTTCTTTTATGACCAGTAAGGAAATACTAGCTAATAGCATTTGCAGACAAACTAGTGTTTTAAATACAACAACAACCAGTGAGCCAGTGTAGTGCAGTGATTTGAGTATTTGACTGTGACTCTAGAGACCAGGGTTCGAATCCCCAGTCAGCCATGGAAACCTACTGGATGATCTTGGACAGGTCACATACACTCAGCCTCCTTCAACAAATCTTGCCAAGAAAACCTCATCATAGGTTCACCTTCTTATAAGCCAGAAATGACTTGAAGGCACACAACAACAAGAAGTAACTTTCTAAATTGACATTGACAAGTGGAGGAACACCCTGTTATACCCATTTTTGAAAACTCACAAATGTAGAATGGGTTTTTTAAACTATTCATTTAGAGCCATGAAAACAAAGGAGAGTTACTGCCTCGGCTGATCACAAATAGAGCAGGTGAAATGCTTCTGTGTATAAAGTCTTGAACTATAATTGTGTGGGCTTGCAAGAACCACTTGAAGTACAGAGAAGCATCCAAAAGTTATGCTCAAAAATGATAAAAGCATGATTAATGGGTAACTTGATGATTCAACTATCCTTGCTTTAAGTAATGTAAACTGGTTTTAAAAAAATGGTAGGGTAAAACTATTGTATTCCAACAAACTACTCAACTCAGTTTTCTCTATAAAAATCCAGACGTTCTTTCTGCAAATTCACGTTGTTTCAGCTACAGTTTCAAGTCACTGTGTTTTCAATCACACCCTTTTCTGAAGGGTGATTAACACTCAAAATGTTGGACAAATAGGATTTCAGTTGTCTTCTGTGTTCCATTCTTCATGACCTATGAGTGGCTAGTCCTGCTAACATGTAACTGGATCATGTAATCATGATGAGGTTGCTCCTGTTACGAATTGTGAAGCTACATATTTCATTTCTGCATACGTGTTTGTTTGTGTGTGTACATACATACCTACATATATATAGTTGTTGTGTGCCTTCAGGTCATTTCTGAGTTATGACAAACCTATCACAGGGTTTTCTTGGCAAGTTTCTTTAGAAGGGGTTTTCCATTGCCATCCTCAAAGGCTGAGAGAGTGTGACTTGTCCAAGGTCACCCAATGGCTTTCATGACTCAGTGGGGATTTGAACCCTGGTCTTCAGAGTCTTTTAGTCCAACACTTGAACCATTGTGTGTGTGTGTGTGTGTGTGCGCGCGTGCGTGCATGCATGCACATTTTGAAAGTGCTGTATTTGTAAAGACTGAGACCATAAATCATGGTAGCCACATTTAAATGACAGGGTTTGTTGTGCATGGTCTGTGGAGAGAGCATATCAGAATGTACCAGATAATTTCCCAGATGGTTAGTAACATCTATATGCAAATATGGGTAGATGTACATCCTGCAGTGTACTGTATGCCAATGACTCAATGCAAATTCCTTTATATGCATAGTGAGGTGACTATTTATAGCCAATGTGAGTGACCTGCACCCTTGACCTAATTTCAAATGCATAGAGCTTGCACATTTTTACTTTTTCAGACTATAACTCTCAGAATCACCTAGTCAGTATGGTCCTCGGTCACACTGCCTGGGGGTTTCTGCAAGCTGCAGTAAAAAAAAACAACCAACAAACACAAGCCTCAGCTTTTCTGAGTTCTGTCTCCTACAAATGACTGTTCTCTATAAGATGGCTACATGACCATTTTAAACATTTAACTGCACATAATCTGAGGCCTCTGACACAGAAGTTTCAGGGATGTGAGTGTCCATCTGTCAGGCCTGCCCTTGGTGGCTTGGCAATGTTCCCTGAGCATGTGAGTCCTTGTCTTGAATGCCTGAAGGTTCTGGCCAGGAGTCCATATGGAGCGGGACTCCGTCCAAGGGTGGCCCAAGCCATTTTGCTGTCTGAGACAGAACAGCAAAATTATACTGCCCATGTCAAAGTGCACAGTACTCCAAACCAGTCATGTCACTACAACCTGAACCAGAAACTTCCAAAATACTTTTTCTTCTTACGGCAGTAAAAATACCTAAATAATAACTGAAAATCACTCCAGATTTTGCCACCCTTTCAAGATCACCCACATCTCCTGTCCAGGGGGGGCATTCAAACTAATTTTTTTGTCCCAAGGAGATGCACATCGCTGCACTGATGCATATCCGTTTTGTTGTTCCTGTTATGTTTTGGGCTCATGAATCTCTTTGAGCCATTTTAACCCATGTTTTATTTACACATGCCATCGTTTTGGGTTAAAATGGAGCTGCCTCTCCTTTAACGATACAGAGTGATCCAAATTGATTTGGAAAGGTATTCATACTGCCGACGATGCGGATCGATGTGGATCTTTCATGAATATTCAGTATTGAATACGGTATCTTGGGTTAAGAGGGGGTGTTGCCAGTGCCCCTCCCAAAAGTGGATCAAGTGCATTCAGGACATGTAGGAACAACAAGGATTCAACCCAGATTATTTTCATAGTGTGAATGGGCCCAGGACAACTTTCTCAATCAGCTTTGTGGTAGGTCTGCTCCAAACGCCATCTCTATCTAGGGACGTTATCACACGGGGGCAAATCTGCTGGTTAATCCACACAAATCCCAAACAGAAACTGGATTTGTGCCCTGCGTTTTCACACAACGTCGCACAGAAACTGTACAGAAAGTGTACAGAAACTTGTGTTAACCGCGATCTTTTGAAATTCGGTTGTTTGGAG